AGATCGGAAAGGATATGCAGGGGGCCAAAACGTAAAGGTCATTGATGATTAAGACAATGTAGAATTAGTTTCGGACAATTAGATTAGGCAAGAATTAGACACAGAGTTAAATACAGAGGCAAGAATTAGACAGAGTTGTATAATGTTCAGAGTAGTAAGAAGCGACGAGGAGAGTTGTTAAAGTAGACTAAAAATTATTTCAGACTTGTGTCATTTAATAATTCGCGGACTTATTATACTCACGCAGTCTCTACTACGCTAGAGCGTACTTCCGCCCTAATTTTCCGCAGACTAGGGACTGGGTCTGACTTAATTCTCCACTCTAATTAACTCTTTCTGACTGCAACTAATAACGAACAACTCTTACTAAACTCCCTCTCTAAAGACTCTTCAAAAACTCTTAACGAACTGCCTCTATCTTCCAGAACGGGCCATTTTGAGCCCGTTTGGAAGGCAAGGGCCTGCCTTGAAGGAGGAGAAAACTCCCTCCACGCCAGGTTCATGGGTGGAAGAGGCTCCTCCTTCCGGGTTAGACTCTCCGAAGAGTCACTCTCGCGAGGTCACCTCACGTGGCCTGGCCCAGACTTCCTATGACCTAACGGGTCCTACAGGAACACTTCGATCATCGTACCCTAATAATGCCTAAAAATGTCCTACATTATTGTCATTTGCAACTAATTTTTCTTAATTCCAATTTAATTTAAATTTACTCGATTATTATCGGTGAATTTACCATCACTTATCCTATAAAAATGAAAATAAGAATAGATTCGTGGAACTTGACGACGATCAATCCTCAGAGTAAGTCGAACTGTATCCATCTCAGTCTTATTCCCACACAAAGCCGAGGAATGACAAAGAGACACTTGAAGATACGGAGGAAGATAATGGGGAAAGTGTGGCTACACGTGGACATGGGTGGTAGCGCATCGAAGGTGAATTGGAAAAACTAACGGGCGGATCGCGATGGCTGGCCGCAAACACAAGAGCACGCGATTGGAATTCCCGACTGCTGGCCAGGAAGTGGTCAATAGGAAGTTCTGCTAGGTGCACTTGCATCTACGAGGCCGCGGCGCGCTCTGGAAACGTATCCGAGTGGGTTGAATCGAAACAATCGGCCCGCAAATACATTGTCCGCCGTGAATCCTCGTTGTCCATTGATTAGAGAGGCATTCATCGTGGCTAATTGCCACGAATCGGCAGTGCCGGCTGTTTTCCGCGTCTTCCAAATGCATCGATCGCCGCTAAGTAAATCGTAGACGAGTATCCCGTAATCCCATTAATATTTTCGTCGTCCGGCTGTTTCCATGCACGCGGCCGTGCAAGAATGTTTCGAGCCGGCAATTTATTGAAAATCGAAGCGGTCGCGGAACAATCTCGGCAGGAATTTCATCAAATTTCCGCCTTTCCGCGCGATGGCCCGCGATAACCGTGTTAATTAGCGAACTACTGCTGCCCGATCATTTATTAAATAGTCTATTGATTATCTCTCGATAGTATCGAATCTGTAGAAATTATTCCTGGCCTAGGAACGTTTCAGAAACGTGCGCGAAATTTTCCGCAGCCTCGTGGATGCACCTCGTCAGTCGTGGCAAGTAAGACGAGAGCCGATAGGAATTAAGAACGACAACGGTAAGGGTCCGTCTTTGGAAGATCAGGCCGAGGCTGTTGAATGAAATTGAAAGGCAGCAGAGAGGAGCAGGAACGGGTGAAACGGCAGGTTTAAAGAGATCGGGAGGAGCGAGTTGGAAGAGAAGAGCAATGGGCTGGAAAAGGGAGCGCTCGGTGTAACACGGGGAAGACGGGGGTTGCAGGCGGTGAGCCAAAGGAAAACAAGAGCTGCACGAGATGCAGAAACTGAAATGAAGAAGGGAGGATCAATGGAGCAGAGGGGAGAGCTAGAACAAATATAAATCGAACGGATAAATCTCGAACCTTGTAGACGGACGGAGATGGGTAAAAATTGAAAGATCAAAGTGGCCAGCCTGTGCAGCGGCTGGAGGAAGAGTGGCAGAAAGAGACGGGATGACGGCACGCGGAAAATGCGCAGGAAGGATAGGAAATTCTTCCGATGCAGGAGTACAGACCTGCGTCGTACGCGTGGAGGTACTGATATGAAAAATTCCAGGTACAGGACGAAGATAGAAAAATTCCGCGAAGATAAAGTTAGAGAGATATAAAACGATTACCGGTGATTTCGTTCGAATAACCCTCGGTTGACTTTCAGCAGCTGCGAAACGATCTGAAATACGTTCCAATTGCTCGTAAAATGATTTTGGACGACTCCCAATTGAACTCGATTGCCGTCTCCTTGGTACCAAGATTCTCGTGATCTTTAAACGATCTTGAACGTCCTTGAAGTGTCCTTCGGTGAGTTCCACGTAATCTCACACCTGATCAGATGAGGGTTTCAGTTGGTTCTGTCTGACTTTGAGTCAAGGCTGATGTGACCAATAGCTTCGCGATATTCTAGAATAATGTCCACGCGAAATTGGATAATCTCGAAATTGCGTTGGGTGCTTCGTTATAATCCTGATGGATCTCTTTCGTGGAAAAGGGACCGATGATCGCGGGAGCACGTTTTCTATCTAGCCGGAAGAAGGCCGATCCCCAGAGGTATGCGAACGATCGATAATCAGGAGGTACCCTCGTAAGCTGGCCGATCTGGCCGGCTATTTTTCCAGTCGGATTCTCGGACGTCGGTGATTAAGTTCCATTTCAATCCGCTGCTGAAATTCCTTCTCCACTGGGAGTTTCGCAATGTCCACCGGTCGGAATGAATTAAACGTTTCCGTGAATCGCCGTGCGTGCTTCCGGCTGCGGCATTCCCACGCAAATAACTTCGCGCCATCGGCTACTTGACTGTTCGTTCTCCACGGGCCTTTAGTCAACGCGGGAACTGCACTAAAGATCTTATCATTTCCGTGGATTTTCCGAACAAAGTTCAACGAAATCAAGAAAATACTCGGTGAATCAAGTCAGTTTTTATGAGGAACTTGCGGAGCTCGCGTTGCGTCCTTTAGGAATTCGGGTCGCGACCCTAAGGAACTCGCGTCGTGATCCTAAAGAACTCGAGTCGCGACCCTAAGGAACTCACGTCGTGGCCCTAAGGAACTCGGGTCGCGACCCAAGGGAATTCGCGTCGCGACCTTAAGGAACTAGCATCGTGTCTTTGAGGAACTCGCGTCGCGTCCTTTGGGAATTCGGGTCGCGACCCTAAAGAACTCGCGTAGCGACCCTAAGGATTTCGCGACGCGACCCTAAAGAACTCGCGACACGTCCTTAAGGAACTCGCGTCGCGTCCCTAAGAACCTCCCGTCGCGACCTTAAGGAACTAGCGTTGTCTCTTTGAGGAACTCGCATCGTGTCCTTTGAAAATTTGCGTCGCGTCCTTTAGGAATTCGAGTCGCGTCCTTTAAGAATTCGGATCGCGTCCTTGTGGAACTCGCGTCATACCTTTCAGGAACTCGCATTGCGTTCTTAAAGAACTCGCGTCGTGATCCTAAAGAACTCGAGTCGCGACCCTAAGGAACTCACGTCGCGACCCTAAGGAACTCACGTCGCGACCCTAAGGAACTCGGGTCGCGACCCAAAGGAACTCGCGTCGCGACTTTAAGGAACTAGCATCGTGTCTTTGAGGAACTCGCGTCTCGACCCTAAAGAACTCGCGTAGCGACCCTAAGGATTTCGCGACACGTCCTTAAGGAACTCGCGTCGCGACCTTAAGGAACTAGCGTCGCCTCTTTGAGGAACTCGCATCGTGTCCTTTGAAAATTTGCGTCGCGTCCTTTAGGAATTCGGGTCGCGTCCTTTAAGAATTCGGGTCGCGTCCTTGTGGAACTCGCGTCGTACCTTCAGGAACTCGCATTGCGTTCTTAAAGAACTCGCGTCGCTACCTTAAAGAACTCGCACCATGTTCTTCAGTAACTCGCGTCGCGTGCTATTCTCCGCATCATTAGAGTACCAGCACCGCGACGCGATCAGGCGACGCCGGAACCGAAGTTGGCTCCACGCGTGAACGCGCGTTGTCGCTTCCGGTTAAACGATCGAGCGAGGAGACGGAGACCAAGCAGAGACATAGGCGCGTGACGCGAGATCCATTAATAAGGCGCGCCTAATTTCACGAAAGCTCGGAGCCCCAAACTATTATCTAGGAAACGTAACTCGGTCGAAGAGCGATTAAACGGACGCCACCAAAATACGTCAGGCTTGCGGCGGGCTGCGCCTGACAGAAAACCTATAGACGGAACAACCATTAATGAAATGACAAATGCGTTCTTGTCGACAGCACGAGCAGTTGCACGCGCTAGCATCGGCTAGCGTTTCGCATGCCGGGCCGTTGGCTACGTGGTGGAATAAAATATATTCGACCTAGTGATTTACGCGTAACCGTGATATCGCAACGAAGAGCCAGGCCGATTGATCGTTCTCGCGACGCACGGCGTCGTTGGAAATTCGAATCGACGACTTGGCGATCGATTGGCTCCGATAACGCCACGGACCGGCGAAACCTGTGGATTTATCGGCCGATGTTGTAAGCTTCCACTCGATGAAAACGTCCTCGCGCGAGATTTTGACGGGAGATTTAGTTGTTGATTAATTTACGAGGCGTCGATGCGTTTGCGAGAAGAGAATAGGTTCTTTAAGCAAGCTTCAGTTTCCTCTGACCTATCAACGGGTAGAGCCACCGAAGATGGAAGGCTCGCGTGAATCACGGCCACCTGGCGTTTTTCGCGCAGAGATAAGGAGAAGTCGAGCTGGATCGCGAATAGTTGCTCGACGAAATAGTTTCTTAGCGGATCGATGCGATACTTGGGAGAATCGAAGCTTCGTTTCTCCCGTTGCTATTCGCTGAAAAGGGGAATAAAAAAGGGCGGATTAACCAAGCAGCCCATTAAGTTCGTTCCACGAGGCTATCGCTCGCTGGCGCAACTGAAACGAACGACCGAAACACACTGGCAGCGTTACTTAATTCAATTTCTTTCCTCTTTCGGTTCCAGGGGAGTTACCAGCCGCGGTGCACGACGGTAATGGGGTCTCCAGGGCGTTCCTCAACCTGTGGCTAATTCACTTAACGATGAGCTACGTTTTTTCCAGATGACAATACTAAGGTGAGTCTGTCGCCGCGGAACGACCCGGCTGAAAGCGCTATTCCGACCCGTTCCACCCCGTCTCACGTGTCCTGATGCGCGAATTTATCTTATCTCCTCGTCTAATTCGCCGGTTCCTAGCGTCGTAAAACTCTGAACAACTCGTTCGCGGGAATCGATTGGCTCGGGAACCGGAACGCTTATCCCGAAGCTGCGAATACGATTGCAATTTGAAACATGGTCGGACCACTGCCGGCAACTGCGAGAAGGATCTAACCCGGATCCCGTCGTTTCGCTGTCTGCATCCGATGATACGATCCCGTTTCCAACCCGCGTAAAAGGTGTCGGCGGAACTCCGCGGGAACAGTATGGCGGCCGCGTGAAACCGCTTTCCCCAACTACCGGGGATTGAGGATTGAGAAATGGTTATTACCATTTCGCGTCCGAAAGTTGCTCTATTCGCGCATAATTATCCGTGCCCAGACGTCGCCGAAATTGTTCGACGTTTTCGTAAATCGTGCGGCCATTCGAGGATCGTTCCTCGTTACCCCTTTGAGCGCCGCGTAACCAATCCTCGATGGCCGTTCTTCCGGTTCTTTCCCCGTCTCTGTTGTTTCTTCGTTTTCTCTTTCACCCTTTTTGTCGTCCCGGTTTCTCCGTTATTTTCAGCCCAGTAGAACTCTTTTGTGCCAGTCCTTTTTTTACCGACTGTCTTATTTCCTGCAGTTTTTTCGCCGGCACACGGTCACTGTGTTTCCCCGAGTTCCTCTTTTCTTCGTCTTTTTTTCGAAACGAGTACGTTTGTTTGCGATTGGGTCCCGTTTGCTAGCCTTCCACCAGCTTTCTTCCTTCATTTCTGTCAACTTTCTTCCACCTTCTACCTTCTCTCTTATTCTCTCTCTCTTTTTCTTTCACTCTCTCTCTATCTCTCTCTCTCCGTCTCATTCTCTCTCCTCCGCGTCTCTCTTTTATTTTCCCCCGAGTTTTTTTGTCCGGTGCGCTTTTCCTGGCCCGTTTCCCCGGGATTTAGCGCTCCCTCTGCAACCCTGTTTCCGTTTCTTCCCTTTGTTGCCTTTTTATCTCCTCCCAAAGCTTCTCCTTCTTTTTCCACCTTTTTCCATCCACCTCCCTCCACCCGACTTTCCATTTTATAATCTTCCTTTTCGGTTTGTCTGCTCCTTCTGTTCCGCGCGCCTCTCGCTCTTTATCTTCAACGCGCCGGATTTTCCGCTTTGTTCTCCACTGAATTTCCTCCCGGTACTAGTACGATTCCCTCCGCTTCCGATCCCTTCTTCCTCTCCCTTGTCCCGTCTCCCTGCGCCCATGTTTTGATTCAATTTCTCCTCCACGAGGATATCTGTATCGCGGTATCCCACCTTCCCCTCTTTTTTCTTACAGAAACGTGTCTTTTTCCCTTCTTTCTTCATCCCCTAACCTCTCCCGGTTTGTTTCTTCTACCTTTTTCCGTCCCTTCCTCGCCGGGCCGCCTAATCCGAGTTTCAGGCGAGTTTTCAGACGCGAGGCTCGAAGGCTCATCGGCTCGTAAGAAAGTTACGCCAAGTTTCCCAGCTAAATCTGCCTCCTCTCCCATCCGAGGCCGGAAAGATACGGCGACGCTTTAACGAGGAACAAATTGATCGGAAACTTCCATGCTACTCGTGTCACTCGGCGTTTCCTTTCATAATTCCGCTTCTTTCGTACGAAGGGAGAATTCGGTTCTCCTCGACGATAAAAATTTTCCACAAGGCGGGTATAGGAATGCTGGAAATTCTCGATACGCGAAGCTCATCCATGAGCGTCAGTATTTTCGGAACAACTTCCCGAAGCAAGTTCCTGGGAAGCTCGGCCACGTCGGTTTAATAATAAATTCCTGCGAATCGACGTTTCTCGATAAACTCTTCGCTCGGTTTCCGTCGACCGAGGTGGAACGTCTGCCGCGCCGAGAGAATCGATCTCTTCGCCTTCGTCTATCGTCGAATAAAATCGCAGACTGCACCCGGTGAGTCGATGCGATTCGAACGAGATCGGCTGGCCTCGATCATGGAAATCCAATCCGTTTAATTGGATTTTACACGATTTACGTTTCATGACTCTCCCGCCTGGTGGAATAAACAGAACGATAGGGCTGGCTGCGAAATGTCCGCGTGCGCGTTTCATCGCGAGCCATTTAGCATTAACAAATTAAATTACTTGGCAATCGTGGCGAATTTTTGGAAATCGGTTAAAAAGCGTTGACTTTCCGGCTTTCGCAAACATTCCGTGAGAATGTGAACGTCTGTTTGTTTATATCGGTGAACTCGCTTTGTTTGACTAGAGAAATGGCCAAGTTTGATCTCAATAGGAGCCTCGAATGTATTCCACCGACGCGTTGACCATCTAATTACTGTCAACTTATATACGATTCAAGGAGAATTGACAGAAAATAGGAACAAAATGTTCACGTAACCAAGAATACTCTGAGACGTTTTCTAATGACCCCTGGAAAGGGCTCCCAGGTGACACATATACAGCTAGATACATACAGTAGATACACACGTCCCTGGTGCGTAGGGATCTGGATATTGCGGTCCGGCCCTGTTCTAATCACGCATCGCTCGCATGCAACTGTTCATATTTCCTGCCAATTCTCGTTGAACAGGGTATAGACTCTCTCGATATCTGATATGCGTGACATTAACGTGCATCGCATAATGAGGCTCAAGACACGAGAGTAGTAACCCTCCTGGTGGAACCAGACAGACGCTAATAATGTAAAGGTACACTGTCAGAATATAGACATCCTTGGAAATATTTTACGCAGGATTTGTAAACAGGAAAAATCACAACCACCCTAATAATTAGAGTCATTGAAGATCACTCTATTTCAACCCCCAAGAGAAAAATAAATCAGAGCAAGCATAGTTGACCCTGATTCTCCATGAGCTGTCAAAAGATGCAGAAAACAGTGGCTCGCGATAGGTATCCAAATTTCTAGCCTCGGATCTCACGTGCCACGGTTCCCAGCTCGTAGAAAACACGTGCTAACGGAGACCATTCTATTTCAACCCTCGAGAGGAATAAATCAAAGCAACTACAGTTACTGGAAATTGATCCTGATTCTCCACGAGCTGTCAAAAGATGCAGAAAACAATGATTTGCGATAGGTATCCAAATTTCTAGCCTCGGATCTCAGGTGTCACGATTCCCAGCTCGTAGAAAACACGTGCCAACGGAGACCATTCTATTTCAACGCTCGAGAGGAATAAATCAAAGCAACTACAGTTACTGGAAATTGATCCTGATTCTCCACGAGCTGTCAAAAGATGCAGAAAACAATGATTTGCAATAGGTATCCAAATTTCTAGCCTCGGATCTCACGTGCCACGGTTCCCAGCTCGTAGAAAACACGAGCCAACGAAGACTATTCCATTTCAACTCCCGAGAAGAATAAATCAAAGCAAGCATAGTTACTGGAAATTGATCCTGATTCTTTACGAGCTGTCAAAGATGCAGGAAACAATGGTTTGCGATAGGTATCCAAATTTCTAGCCTCGGATCTCACGTGTCACGGTTCCCAGCTCGCAGACACGCGTTGTACACGTTCGTCGATACGCGAATTGACCGATATTCATAATTCAAGGTTTTATCAACGGGATTCCGGCATTGGGAGGACACAGGTTCGGAGAAGGAAGCCGGGGTGCCATGTGACGGGTCCCGCGGAAACTATAGCTTATGCGAGGCAGCCCGCAGGCCAGCCGTATCTCACCTTCCGTGCTTTCATTATCAGTTACCATAGATCACCGTGAGCGAGCACCAATGACGTCGCATCCGTTCATCCCTCATCGCGAAACGTCGTTCGGCGAATGACGGTGCCGAGTGCTCCGTGTTGCGTGCATCGTGTATCGTGTTCCCTGCATCGATATCGTACGAGTATAAGCCGGGGATTATTAGGGGGTGCGGGGTCGGATCGTGTTCCCAGGTCGTCTCTGGGAAATTGTGGATCGAACGACGGAGTTTATCGCCCAGGCTAAGATACTTTGGGCGACTTGGAAATTTATCCCGAAATGGAATTCGGTTTTATGAAAATGGCGATCGGGGATTCGAGTTTTAGAAGAGATACGAGTACTGCAGGCATGGCTGCACTCGCGTGCTTTGAATGATCGCTGCCGCTTTATGACAGGAGCTTGGGAATTCTTTTGCTCGATAGGAACTTTATCGCGAAATAATAATTCGGTGACACTCGCCGGGTCGATATCGTTACCCGTTGTCGCGAAATTGCGATTCGACGCTGTTGCATAAACAGGAATTAAAATAAATTGAAATTCTTACGACCAGTATAAACCTCGTTGCGATATAGCGGTTCGGCGTTGCGCTGATATGCTGATATCGCATATTGCGGACACTATTGTTATTGCCGAATGACAATTCGGCGTTAATGCATAAACAGGAATTGAAGTAAATCGAAATTCCTTCCGTCGATATAAACTTTATTGCGGAATAAAATTCTCTCGCTGTTTGCCAATTATCGCAATGTTATTGCCATTGCGAAACGCGGAAGAATCGATATAAATTTTCTCAAATTAATAGCAATCATTATCGAATGTATTACGATAAAATACGCCATTTTTTGGAATGCATATTTATCTTCGAATCGCGAGGGTTTAACCTCGTTCCAACTAATTAACTGTCTTCGCATACGTGTTTGTTCGACGTGATACCCTGATCGACGAGGATTCTAAAACTGGTACCGTAAAACAGTAGCAATCGTCGAAAGTAGGCTACCTATGGGGTGCTTCTGCGTCTCACAGTTTATAGCTTCGAGTTACGAACAAGAAGGTCTCGTAGCCACGTTTCTTAACGTTCCTGAACGAGCACGATCGTAGTCTGATTAACAGCCCCGTAACTAACGAGATTAAGAATGGCATCGCGGGATCGGCTTAATATTTCCTCGGCACGTGCTTCCAAGGGGGTTGAAGAAACGCGGGTGATCCGAGACGTAAACAGTTCAACGTGATTCATCGGTTTAATCCAA